AGAAGCAACAAGAGGAACAGCCATTTTAGATCTGGTCCTAACCAATGTTGATGACCTGGTTAGTGGGGTAGAAGTGGAAGGATCATTAGGCGCGAGTGATCATGCTCTTCTGAAGTTTACTATACAGCGGAAAGGAGCAGCCAAGCATACTAGGACTCAATTTCTCGACTTTAAGAAAGCCGACTTCATAAAGCTTAGGGAAGTGCTGGGTGAGATCCCATGGACAGTAATACTAAAAGGAAAGGGAGTTCAAGATGGCTGGGAGTTTGTTAAGAGGGAGATAGTAAAAGCACAACTTCAGGCAATACCAATGAGACGGAAACATGGAAGGTGCCTAAAGAAGCCAGGGTGGCTATCTAAAGAACTTTTAACTGAGTTAAGATTAAAAAAGGATGTGTACAAAAAATGGAAAAGGGGGGAAACCACCAAAGAGGAATTCAAACAAATAGCCAGCACGTGTAGACACAAAGTCAGAAAAGCTAAAGCACAAAATGAACTCAGGCTTGCTAGAGAGGTTAAAAGCAACAAAAAAGGCTTTTATGGGTATGTTCGTAGCAAAAGGAAGAACAAAGAAACCGTGGGGTCACTCAGAGGAGAAGATGGTGAAATGCAAACAGGGGACACAGAAAGGGCTGAACTCCTCAATGCCTTCTTTGCCTCAGTCTTCTCCAATAAAGAAAACAATGCCCGACCTGAAGAATTTGGAGCAAATGATTCAGCAGAGGAAACACAGCCCAGAATAACTAAGGAGATAGTACAAGAATACTTGGCTAGTCTAGATGTATTCAAGTCTCCAGGGCCAGATGAACTGCATCCAAGAGTATTAAAAGAACTGGCAGATGTGATTTCAGAACCACTGGCAGTCATCTTTGAGAATTCCTGGAGAACAGGCGAAGTCCCGGCAGACTGGAGGAGGGCAAATGTTGTCCCTATTTTCAAAAAGGGGAAAAGAGAGGACCCAAATAATTACCGCCCAGTCAGTCTGACATCAATACCAGGGAAGATTCTGGAGCAGATCATTAAGCAAACAGTCTGTGAGCACCTAGAAAGGAATGCTGTGATCACCAATAGTCAGCATGGATTTCTGAAAAATAAGTCATGTCAGACTAACCTGATCTCGTTTTTTGACAGAATTACAAGCCTGGTAGATGAAGGGAACGCAGTGGATGTAGTCTACCTTGATTTCAGCAAGGCATTTGACAAGGTGCCCCATGATATTCTTGTAAAGAAGCTGGTAAAATGCGGTCTTGACTATGCTACCACTCAGTGGATTTGTAACTGGCTGACTGACCGAACCCAAAGGGTGCTCATCAATGGTTCCTCTTCATCCTGGAGAAGAGTGACTAGTGGGGTGCCACAGGGTTCTGTCTTGGGCCCGGTCTTATTCAACATCTTTATCAACGACTTGGATGATGGACTCAAGGGCATCCTGATCAAATTTGCAGATGACACCAAACTGGGAGGGGTGGCTAACACCCCAGAGGACAGGATCACACTTCAAAACGACCTTGACAGATTAGAGAACTGGGCCAAAACAAACAAGATGAATTTTAACAGGGAGAAATGTAAAGTATTGCACTTGGGCAAAAAAAATGAGAGGCACAAATACAAGATGGGTGACACCTGGCTTGAGAGCAGTACATGTGAAAAGGATCTAGGAGTCTTGGTTGACCACAAACTTGACATGAGCCAACAGTGTGACGCGGCAGCTAAAAAAGCCAATGCAATTCTGGGCCTCATCAATAGGAGTATAGCATCTAGATCAAGGGAAGTAATAGTGCCACTGTATTCTGCTCTGGTCAGACCTCACCTGGAGTACTGTGTCCAGTTCTGGGCACCACAGTTCAAGAAGGACACTGACAAACTGGAACGTGTCCAGAGGAGGGCAACCAAAATGGTCAAAGGCCTGGAAATGATGCCTTATGAGGAACGGCTAAGGGAGCTGGGCATGTTTAGCCTGGAGAAGAGGAGGTTAAGGGGTGATATGATAGCCATGTTCAAATATATAAAAGGATGTCACATAGAGGAGGGAGAAAGGCTGTTTTCTGCTGCTCCAGAGAAGCGGACACGGAGCAATGGATCCAAACTACAAGAAAGAAGATTCCACCTAAACATTAGGAAGAACTTCCTGACAGTAAGAGCTGTTCGACAGTGGAATTTGCTGCCAAGGAGTGTGGTGGAGTCTCCTTCTTTGGAGGTCTTTAAGCAGAGGCTTGACAACCATATGTCAGGAGTGCTCTGATGGTGTTTCCTGCTTGGCAGGGGGTTGGACTCGATGGCCCTTGTGGTCTCTTCCAACTCTATGATTCTATGATTCTATGATTCTAAGAACGTACCCTCCAACATTTCTCTGATGAAAATAGGAATGTCCTATTTGATGATGATGATGATGATAATATTTGTACCCCACCCATCTAAGTGGGTTGCCCCAGCCACGCTGGGCAGATTCCAACATATAAAAAAACACAATAAAACATTAAACATTAAAAACTTCCCCATAGAGGGCTGCCTTCAGATGGCTCAGGGATCAGATAACTCCATACCCACCAACATTTCTCCTATGAAAGTAGGGACGTCCTAAGGAAAAGTGAGGGATGCAAGTGGCGCTGTGGTCTAAACCACTGAGTCTCTTGGGCTTGCCAATCAGAAGGTTGCGGTACGAATCTCCGCAATGGGGTGAGCTCCTGTTGCTCGGTCCCAGCTCCTGCCAACCTAGCATTTCAAAAGCACACCAAAAAGTTCAAGGAGATAAATAGGTACCGCTCCGGCAGAAGGTAAATTGTGTTTCCATACACTGTTCTGGTGTCAGTGTTCCATTGTGCCAGAAGTGGCTTAGTCATGCTGGCCACATGACCCGGAAAATCTGTCTGCGGACAAACGCCGGCTCCCTTGGCCTGTAAAGCGAGATGAGCACCGCAACCCCAGAGTCATCTGCAACTGGACCTAGAAGAAGAAGAAGAAGAAGAGTTTGGATTTGATATCCCGCCTTTCACTTCCTTTAAGGAGTCTCAAAGCAGCTAACATTCTCTTTTCCCTTCCTCCCCCACAACAAACACTCTGTGAGGTGAGTGGGGCTGAGAGACTTCAAAGAAGTGTGACTAGCCCAAGGTCACCCAGCAGCTACATGTGGAGGAGCGGAGACGCGAACCCGGTTCCCCAGATTACGAGACTACCGCTCTTAACCACTACACCACACTGGCTCTCTTTAACTGTCAGGGGTCCTTTACCTTTACATTTTAAAGGAAAAGTGGGACATTCCAGGATTAAATCAGAAACTGGGATGGCTTCTGTAAATCCAGGACTGTCCCTGGAAAATAGAGACACTTGGAAGGTCTGTGCTCACTTTCCTGAACCACCTTGATCAGTCCATCTTTGTTCAAGTAGAAAAGTGCCCCAGCACTTGCCTACATGGATTTCAGTAGTCAGTAGATCTTACTGTATATCGCCAATGGCCATGACAATGACTACATGGATTGCATTAAGCTATAGCTTGAGATTTCTCTTGATTGATTTTCTTTCTTTCTTTCTTTCTTTCTTTTTGAAAAGTATGTCTGGTTATGTCTAATGGTTAGCTCTAGGCTCACTGAAGTGTGAAAGCACTTATACTAGGAACTGGACTGAGACCACTTCAAATCCATTGTATTGTAAACTTGCTAAAGTGCTTTCAGATAACATGGGCTGAATTCTTTCACATAACGTTCCTGATTTTCTCCCGCTAGCATTTTGCTCTAAAAACCTGTGTGGTAAAAAAAAATCTGTGCAGCTTAGTGTGAAAACCTTTTTTCCTGCCTTTTTTATTTTTTTAGGTGTGAGCTAAAAATAGCTTTCAGTGCCCTGGACAGTCATGTTTATTTTTCCCCCAAAATGGTAAATGCAAATGGGTGCTAAAATCTGTTAAGAGTGTTGTGGTGAATATATATTTCTTTTTAAAAACTAAAATTTTCAAAAATAGATACATCTGTATAGAGTATTATCTGTACAGAGTATCAATCCATAGTAGAGTTATACTTTGACCTATAGGCATAGAAACAGTAATATTTCAAATTTAAGTAATTCAGACTTTTTAAATATATATATATATTATGTTTTTTCACTACGCACATAAACCATAGACAAAAGCAAATACTTTGAATACAATACTTTGAATTAAGCAATATGAATATAGTGTTTGTTTTTCATGGCCCCACCTTATACTATAGCATTGTTACTATGCATCATATGCCTTTTTTGCTAAGACCTGATTAATCATTCTGCTGCTGTTATGGATCATCACACACACACACACACACACACACACCATGGCAAGGGGTCCTTGTGACTAGTGCAATCTGTGTAAAGAGGCTTACTATTTTGATTGCCCATGCAAATGCCTCACCTTCCTGAGAGATGTTGGCATAGAAGCTTTCCACTCAAAAGAGTCAATCTACATAAGACCTCTTAATATGTTATGACAGGGTTGACTGAAGTTCCTTCCATGCAGAACTTAATGAATGAATGGCTGTAGTGAATGAGGCAACCCCCATGACTGATTTAGAACACCGGTGCAGAGTTTTTGTATGAATGTCCATGCTGGTCTACAAAACCAAAGCTGCATGTAAAACCAGATAGATTAGTCTCTTAGAGTAACTGGTGTGATTACAAACTATTAGTGTAGCACACTGGTATAAGTGAATTAGAGGATTGCTACATATTCTTCAGTAGAAAATACCCTAACTCCCAGATAAGGAAGATTTGTCCATATCTGAGAAGGTAATCCGAACTCAGGCTGCTTACTGTCTATCAATATTAGGAAAGAAGGAGGCAGAGAAGCTGCTTGGAGTTGGGATTTTATTTTTAAACATGAATTTCCATATTCACATGCTAGTGAATGCAAAAACGAGGAAAATTTGAATGTGTAAAAGCTATAAAAAAAGGGGGGGATCCAGCTGCTCTTACAAGATCATATTTTCGCTTCAACAACTTAACCTTGGGTCTCCTTTGTCTCTTTTTCTGCTGAAAAGGTCTCATTCGATTGCAAGAGCTTATTAAGGCTCCATCGCGGTACAACCTGCGACTAAAAATCCGCCAGTTACCAGCTGACACAAAGGATGCAAAGCCCTTGCTCAAGGAGATGAAAAGAGGCAAGGAATTCCACGTCATCTTTGATTGCAGTCATGAAATGGCAGCAGGCATTTTGAAACAGGTAATTACAACCCTTTCCTAAATACAACACTAAGGTAAGCCAGAGACGGTATTGAAGTGAAGGTTTGGGAAACCTGGTTATGATGATGGAACCCCGTTAGCAGTGACCAGAGTTATTGTCACAGCACATGAAACATTGACTCTGGAATGGTCCGCCTGTGGCCCCTAGTGCTGCATGAGGCCCTCTACCTAATTTCATGAAGCCCTTGCCCTAGTTTCAAAAGCCTTCTGTCAGTGATTAGTTCAGACCTCTGGAAAGAGCAATCTATTGTGGGGAGCAGTTGAGAGTGATAGTGCATGCGGGTGGGGAGAGAATCAGAAAGACAGCCGGCAAGAAAAAGAGGTGGCAGAAAAGAGAGTAGCCTGAGCCACCTTTGGTTTGGTGCCCCATGTGTCTTCAGCCCCATCTATTGATTAGTATATGGACCCCAGCAGGTTGCCCCAGAGGGAATGTAGTTCTCAATCATTCCAGGGTGCAGTCTGATGGCACATGGGGTCACCACTTTGTTGAAGTCTGAATCTATGCCTGGATAGGAGACTGTGATATAAAAGTAAGAAAGCAAAGAAACAAATATATGGTTTCCTGTCCCTGCACTAAACCCATGCCAAAAGCAAATCAAGGGAAAAAGGAAAACATTCATTCCTCAAATGGCTCTTGAATTCCAAACCATAATATGCAGGAAAGGTGCCTCTATATGCTACCAGAAGTATTCTAATAACGTGGACTGTTTACTTTAGTCTGGCAGGCTACTACCCTAGAGAAAAACTGATTTATTTTCACTCTATAAGGCACACCAGACCACAAGATGCACCTAGTTTTTGGAGGAGGAAAACAAGAAAAAAAAATATTCTGAATCCCAGAAGCCAGAACAGCAAGAGGGATCGCTGCACAGAGAAAGCAGAGATCCCTTTTGCTGTTCTGACTTCTGGGATAGCTGCACAGCCTGCATTCACTGCATAAGACGCACACACACATTTCCCCTTACTCTTTAGGAGGGAAAAAGTGAGTCTTATAGAGCAAAAAATACGGTATCTGAATTGGTGTGGTCAGATTGCTTGCACTCCACAGTTTCATCTGTTTGGATGTGGTCAGCGTTCACCAAGAACCTCTCCCCAGTCACATCATAACAGCAGCAGTACTTTAAAATGTTGGCACCACAGAGAGTTCCAAGTGAAGAGGAGAACATTTCTAGAGGTCAGAACCTAAAAGCACTGAGAAAGTATTATGGTCTATAATATAGACCCAATATTGGGACATGTGCAGGCTCCAGAGTGCCTTGTATGTGGTAAGGGTGTTTTCAAAAACAGGTCCACACCATGACATTGGTGAACTGGGTCCCATACTGACTTGCCCACTAGAAGGCAGAACTGTTTCCACCTGGGCTCGAAGTGAGTGACACTGCTGGAGGAGAGCAATGTAAACCTTAAGCCCTTCATTCAAATTAGCAGGACAGATTTATTTGGGCTGGGTCTGAGTCACGTGTCAACCTAAGTTTTGTGTTTTCTACAAAATAGTTATTCACAAAGTCACAAAATGTGCATTACCTTGGATTTATTACGATATCTCATTTATTGGACATGATAGTCTCCTCTAGCGCAGAAGTTCGAATCTTGCAAAGAGGTGGATAAATAGGTGCACCTTTCCTTTCCTTGAAGCTTCTGTTTGGAGACTGCCATTGTTCAACCACCTGAGCAGTGGAGATGGAAACTAATGCAAACTTACTTTGTCTCCTCTGTCCCGTGGTCTTACTTGTGTTCATAAATACAGGTGAGATCTTAACTTTTTAGTCTGTTCATGGGAGGAGAATTGTGCTCATGGAAGGGATCCTCTCAGTGGTTCTGCCTCTGTTCACAGATCAAAAAGTTAAGATCAAAGCCATACTTTTGTTGGATCGCAGCCTAAAAGTGCAACAAAAATTGCTGATGTCGTTTGAATATTCATACGCTTTAAAACACTTGAGTCCAGAGTGTTTACTAGTTTTGTGCTAGCTAAAAACCCAGCAACCTGAACAATAAGTTAGTCCATCAGCCAAGTTGCATTATTTATAATGGACCAATCGGTTGTAGGTGAGCAGCAACTGTGGCTTTTATTAGTTTCTCTGTCAGCAAAAACAGCCCTGTACTAAATAAGTATTAGAGCAAAGTGGAACCCTGGCTTTATCACTCCCATCTCCTTTACACAGTAAAAAGATTTTCTTTGCTGATTTATCTCTTTCCCATCTTGCTTATTAATGGCGAGGATTTGTTCTGCCTAATGCTCCAAATATACAAAACCAATTCTCAGGCTACTTCCTTGAGCAGATCAGGAACATTGACTTGAATATATGCAGCCATGGATTTACTTTTCTTAGGAGTGCACTTTTTGCATATGAATTATTTTGTTAAATATTTCTTTTCTTTCCCTCTTGATACTCGAAGCACTCTAGTTCATTTAATAACACAAGTGTCTGTGTCTTTTTAAAAATTAGGCTTCGGCACTGATATGCAAAGTGCCCCCATACCTTGCCACCCGTATTTGAGTTGATTATGTGTGTAACAGCATGATGAGAGTTTCATATTCTGAATCCATGCTACATATATTTTGCAATGAAGAGCCCTGCAATGCATTCAGCTGGCAAAGGATGAAGGCAGTTGCATTTTAATGCTCCTATTTATTTTCACACATCTTATGCAAGTTGCCTTTAAGACTCAGTGGTGTTGTCTAGAACCAAGCATTGCATTCCCCCAAGCCTCTGGTGTAGGAAAAGAGAAGAACAAACACAGCTCTCTTTGCTGACTTCCTTGGAGCATGAGGTGGCATAGCATAAATGCCTGCTCTGAGTTGCCCCCTCTCATGCTCCAAGGTCTTTGATGTGGGGAGAAAGATGTAAAAATTCTGCTGCAACTCTGCTCTGGAATATCAAAGCAAGCAAATTAGCAGCCTTTTCTGACCTCGCCTTCTCCGTTGAAATCTGAAGAGGCTTGTGAGCCGGGGTCTAATATGTTCCTGGGGTATGACTGGACTGCATCTGACCTCTAGCCCACATACCCATGTGGGTAGGTGAGAACATTACCCTTTCCTTCTGCTGTAGCTTAAGAGCCGGAAAGTGGCAGTCGGATGCACTTGCATGTTTGTAATGGAGAATGAAGCCCACTCTGGGGTTTTGGTACAAAATGGAATAGACTTCCCTACCCCTAATCTATATGTGGCGTACATTCCCATCACTGTGTAGCAGTCCTAGATGCTGATTTTCAACCCTTCCTCTTAATTCTTAAAAATCCATATCAGAAGATTAAAGTTACTAGCCATAGAGCATGGTGCTGATAACACCAAGATTGCAGGTTTGAACCCTGTATGGGACAGCTGCATATTCCCAAATTGCAGGGGATTGGATCAGATGATCCTCAGGGTCCCTCCCAACTCTACAATTCGATGATTACTTACCAAACAAAGAAGATGGGTACAGTAAGGCTTCAGGGATATGCTTTTAGCCCCAGCCTCCGAGGTCACACCAATTTCCCCAGACTCTCACATGTTTAGGCTGCAGCAGGGAGCCTCAGGGAGCTGTGAAGGTGTTCAACCTAAACTAATGAAGTAAGAACCACAGGACTTTGGCAGCAGGGCTGAAAGTGCTGCCCTGTTGTATCAGTGTTGTATTTTGATAAACAAAGCCTGAAATAGGCTGTTCTTTGTGCTTCTGTTTGATTGTCTCTTGGTCCTCAGAACAGCCTTAATTCCTCTGAGGAGCTGCCCTGTTTGGTGATCTTTCAGGCATTCTTCTCTGTTTTGCCAGTCCACCTCACGGAGGGAAAACACTGCAGAGAGAAGGTGTGACTCAGTCACAGGGATGAAGCAAGGCACCTTCCTGATTCTTGTCATTCAAGACTCATCAGTGCTCCTTTGTGTACCTCTTTACAGCTCTATTTAGCTTCAATTTCAGCTCATATATTCACAATAGCTCTTCCTATTTTCATCCATTTGTCTACATGACACCATCTTGGTGGATGAAGGAAGTTAGTTCTGACCACGGCAACATTAGACTCAGTCTCACTTATTAATCCAAGAAATGATTATGGAAAATCTAAACTGCACAGCTGAAGCTGATGTGCTGCTTAGAAAGATTTGGAAATAACACCGGGGATTTGGAAAGTAGCCCTGGTGCTTTATATGAGCCATTAATGCTTAAAAAATGTGCCTGCAGTGCTTGAAGCTTAAGTGCTGCTTGTGGGGTAGGGTGTTGAAGTGTTCTGTGTTTGCTGCCAGCCTTCAACCTCCCTTTTAATTGAGTAATATTGTTCACTTGGAGTAACTCTACATTTTTCTCATTACGTATCCTTTCTGGTGAAGACGTATAATAAATACAATTAATGGAACCATTCTTGATTCAGATTTTTGGTTGGCAACTGAAAGCTCCTATTAATATGTAAAACTGTAAGCTTCTTTCACATTTGCAGCCCTAAACAGTTCACTAATAATCTTTCTATCAGCAGATTTGCTTCATAAATTCCTTTAATAGCAAGTAATCTGCTCCAACTGCTAAGGAATGATTTGCTTGACCTAATTTTAATATGATTCCAGCCCTATAGTTTCATCCCAATGGTATTCTTCAGAGAGCCTTTCATTATTCATATAGGTGTGATTAAAAGCAATGCTATGTGTAACCTTAGAAATATTAAAAGCAATGTTATGTAACTTTAAAATAATAATAATAATAATGTGTGTGTTTGATTCCCCCCCTTCCCTTTAGGCTTTAGCAATGGGAATGATGACAGAATACTATCATTACATCTTTACCACATTGGTAAGTAGCTTATAGGAATCTGCTGGCGGTCTCAGACAAAGGCCTTTGGTTTCTTAATTATATTGCTTGACAAAGTGAAAGTGGTCTCTCAGGAATAGAAGAGAAAGAAGTACTGAGTGTTTTCTCCTCTTGATTTTGATAAGTTGCAGCGGAAGCTCTGGAGGATGGTTTAATTAATGTTCGTAAGTATTATTCTGGAAAACTGACACTCCTTGCGACGAAAGTGGAGAGCAGAACTGGTTTTACAGTTTTGCAGACAGTTATTTGCTCTGGAGAAACACACAGCATGCAGTTCAGAACGAGCAGATCACTTCTCCCTTCTTTTTGGAGGAGACTTGTTTGATCCTATTTGTTTTGCAATAAATAAATGTTTGTCAACACCTGGGAACATTTCCGGTTTTTAGACAGCTTGTTGTATTTTGGCTCTTGTAATTAGATGGGGGAAAGTTCTATCTGAATAGGAATAGCTTTGGTCCCCTTTGTAAACCTGGTAGCCACTTGAAAGAATAGACAGGAGCACGGAGGAAAGTCTCTAACCATTTGCCTCCCTAAGTCATAATGAGATCGTGCCAAAAATCTGCATTCTAGCTTTCTTGCATTCCAGTTTTTGCCCCACACCCTTAGAGGAACTCACCAACATACAGGCAGGACTTGGAGCTCACAAACAACCAGAAAACTGCAGTTGTTAGGCTTTTAATAGATATACATTATAGGAAACAGAGGAGACTCTTGGAGTCCCATGGACTGCAAGAAGATCAAACCTATCCATTCTGAAGGAAATCAGCCCTGAGTGCTCACTGGAAGGACAGATCGTGAAGCTAAGGCTCCAATACTTTGGCCACCTCCTGAGAAGAGAAGACTCCCTGGAAAAGACCCTGATGCTGGGAAAGATGGAGGGCACAAGGAAAAGGGGATGACAGAGGATATGGTTGGATAGTGTTCTCGAAGCTACCAGCATGAGTTTGACCAAACAGCGGGAGGCAGTGGAAGACAGAAATGCCTGGCGTGCTCTGGTCCATGGGGTCACGAAGAGTAGGACACGACTAAACGACTAAACAACAACAATAATAGGAAACAGAACAGCAATCCTGAAAGTTTTGCAATAGTTTCTAGATCCATTCAAAGGGTTTTCACATTTGAAACCTTAAATTCTGCCTGCATCCAGAGTGTCCGATGGAGCATTCCTTCCTGTGTGGGGAAGGGCCATTGCTCAGTGGTAGAGCATCTGCTTTCCATGTGGAAACTTCATTCCCTGGCCTCTCCAGGTAGGGCTGGGAGGAACTCCACCTGAAACCTTGGAGAGTCGCTGCCAGTCAATGTAGACAGTCGTGAGGAAGAAATACCAATGGCAAAAGGCAGCTCATAGTCCCATGCACCCAATGAGGCTTGTATTGTGTGGAAAGAATGAGATGACTAGAAAGGGACATGCATCCTCATTCCAGTTAGCAGCCTTCTGCTGTCAAGCAGCATTTGTTGGTTTTGATATGTCTGTGAAGTGGAGGGGAGAGAGAAGCCTAGCAGATTAAAGTGGATTTCAAAATGAGCCACTTTCAGATGCTGCTGCTGCTGCTGTAAATGTCAGCCGTCTGCTGCATACTTTATCGGCACAGATTTCTTCTGGATGTTCCTGCTGGAGATCCCGAGTGATCCAGTGGTTAAGCCCAAAATAATGGCAAGGAGGCAGATGGTGGCAGTTCTACGGCTGATTGGACCAAGCCTAGTAAACTGGCTTGCTGGAAGTCTGTCTCTCTTAGTTCCTTTGAAGAAAGAGCAAGGGGCCAGGCCAACCCATAAATGAATCGAATAAATAATAAAATAAACATGTCATAAAAGTTCTGCACTTCATGATCAGGCTTCTGGACTAATTACGTATCCCCATTTGCTAATTAGGTCTCGGGAGCAGGCTGGTGGGAGGGTGGGTGTTTTGCCCCCCTGAAGAATTGAATGTAAACTTCAGCAGTTGACAACTGAGGATAATTTGGGACATGCCAGGAGATGATAGATTTTTATGCTCAGCGGAGCCATGTAACTTCTATCACTTTTTGGCTCCTCTGCTTTATTAATTACTTCTTACCTGACACAGCGAAAGTCGTGTCCAATAAATTTTCTAGTCACGCTGTTTAGCTGTGCTGTTTGGAAGTGTACTTTCCCATGATTGATTTGGAGCCTAATGTAATAGCTCATTAATTCTCTGAACTGTTGTGCATATTTATTATAGTTTTGAGTAAACAGGAATGTGTTTAAATTACATAATTATTTATGCTATTGTCCAAGGTAGTCTGGAAGCCACCCAAAATTTAAAAAGTCGGGGGGGGGGAGAACTTTGGGGCATTATTTCAAGCAGTTCTGCACCTAGCCAAACCTGTTTCCCTATGCTGTGGGGAAAATTTGCCACCTCCTATCATGTCTTGGTCATGCCATCTCTTAAATTGTTATCGAGAAGTGCCAGACACTTTTGCACATTCACTTCTGTTCTCTCCTCCTAAAACACTATAGTCAGGAAGATGGACTAAGTCAAACTATATGTGGTAGTGTGGGTATGTATACTGGAAGATTAATGTGTGATTGGACTATATCTTGCCAGATAGGTAATTAGGTCTTGGCACTTCTCAGCTGTGTGATAATACTGTATAATTCTTACTGCTTCTTCTCTGCCCCCACCCCCACCAACTAAATAGTGTCTTAAAACAAAGGTGGAAGGGCAGCTCAGTGTTTTGGAAAGTCACTGTGCATTGTAGCATAGACCCAGAAGAAGCATCTACGTGACCTAGTCACATTGTGAAAAATGATACTATAAACTCTAATTGGAATTTGGAATGTTAACTATCTCTGAGATTAGCTTGGGTTCTTGCATTAACAATGAACAATTAATCATATGCCACTGTCTTGGAGGGGCGGGGGCTACTGCTGTGCCTTCTCTCGTTCTCTCTCTCTCTCTCTGTGTGTGTGCACTGTTCTGTCTGTCTGTCTGTCTCTCCCTGCCTTTTACTGAATAAATAAGCGCATCTTGTTTGATCCCTGCCAAAACACTGCTGCTTCAGAAACTAATAACAAAATTTCAGCCTTTGGCAAGAAAAGTAAAACTTCACATTTCCCATACAAAGGCTAAATTTTTGTCCAGTTAATAGAAGTGGACATTCCTGCCTGTTGAAATCAGGCAGGTGCCTTCACTGTACTCTTTTTATTTTGTTGATATGTTTACCGTTTTCCATATCTATGCTGAACAAACTAGTTAGAGTGGTACCTTGGTTTGCATACGTCTTGGTTTGCATACGTTTTGGATTACAAACATGTCAAACCCGGAAGTGCGTGCCCCGGTTTGCAACCTTTTTTTGGATTACAACCCATATTATTTTTTTTGGATTACGAACAATTTTTTTTGGAGGCCCCATTGGCGAAAGCGTGCCTTGGGTTACAACCTGTTTTGGTTTACAAACAGCCTCTGGAACGGATTATGATTGTAAACCAAGGTACCACTGTATGTAGCCCTATTCAGGTATTCTCCCTCACACAACTGACAATCTTGTGAGTGGCAGAATGTTGCAAAAAAAGGGAATATGGTTCTGCTTGTGAATTTGTAGATTTTAGCACTGGAGAAAATTTGTTGAACTTGGGTCTTTCTATTATGTTCCTGCATATAATATCTGATATCTGACAAACCACTGAAAACTGGCTTATTAAAGCAGAAAAGCCTAACACTTGCCTAATTCAGGTTTATGGAATGTTAGTAAACAATGGAGTATGCAGCTCACTGACTTTGCTTGACTTTTCCGCATATTGTTAATGGCTATTCAGGTTTGTTTGGGCTCTCAGTGCAGATGTAGGTAATCAGAAGCAGTATAAATTAGTCATTTATTTTCATGTACATGTAACGTTGTTAGCAATTAATTCAATGCACAGTATTCTGGACTTTTTGAGCACTGTTTATTATTCTAAAGTCACCATAATTGCATTGGAGAGGGCAATAAATACTTGTTTGAATGGAAAAGATTCAGGATGTGTCATAGCTACTACAAATGTCCATCCTTTCTTCTCTTCCTTCAGGACCTCTTTGCTCTTGATGTGGAGCCATATCGGTATAGTGGGGTTAACATGACTGGATTCAGGATTTTGAATACAGAAAACAGCCAAGTGGCATCCATCATTGAAAAGTGGTCCATGGAACGATTACAAGCACCTCCAAAGCCTGATTCAGGTTTGCTGGATGGATTTATGACGGTAGGAGCACAATCTACAGTTTAGTTCATGTGGACCTACAAACATTTTAGAATTTCAAACTTCCCTTTAGCTGTATAGTTGGTTTTATTACACATTTCCTTCTCAATGCTTTATTTTGCTGTCTTCAACAAGATGTCTCATCTCTCAGTCTGTGATATCTGAGAAGTGAAGCTGAGCAAATCACACGAAGTATATATCAGAGTGTTTGGCCTGAATCATGCAACTCGTTGTGGAAGCACCAGATACTAAGATTAGAATTTCATTCTAGTACATATATATTTTAAAAGAGGTTGGGGGATCTGTTTTTAGGAGGCTTCATGTAATCTGCCAGGAAAAGTTGGCTTTTAAGTTTCTGTTGTAATTTATCTGGGTCTGAGTGAACTTCTACTGATGTGAAATGGGGGTTTACTTTCATACTGTTAAACTTTCATGATGGCCAGATGACTGCAAATAAACAAAACTACTAAGATTGGAAGGTTGAGGTTTAGTACTGGCATGTGGGCACAGAAGTATGGGCTGCCTTTATTTTTCCTAGAAGGCTTCACAGGAATGACACTGAGTGGTGGAATTAAAAAATGGTGCCTCTGATCCAGCAATTTTCCAGGGGGGCTGCCTTCTTTCACATACACCTTGCAGCATTCTCAAAATTTAAGCTGGGCTCTTCCTTAAGGGGTACATAAATATTGTGGTGGTGACAATGAGGGAATAGAAGAGTTTTCATCCATCCTTCATTTAAATCACAGTAAATATCTAATAGATGGTCATGAAACTCTTACAGTTACATTCCACACAATAAGCACAACAGCACTGAATGTGCTATCTGGAGGAAATATCACATTTCCCCAGGTGTAATATAGGTGTGAATGATTGATGGGGGTTGCACTGGTAACATGGACATAGGTGCAGTCTCACACATGCTCACGCTGCCAAAACATTGGCATAGTCTTCTATTTTAGATTTGACTTCTTTCAGTCTTAGTATATACTTTGCTGCATTGGGTTTTTGAAAGAGGGATAAGATTTTGTAATTTAGCATTTAAGTCTCTACATTTGCAAAAAAGAAAGAAAGAAAAGAAAAGCGGGGGGGGGGGGAGTGAAACTTTTGCTTACTAGATAAAGGGTTATTGTCAACACTGGGAGCATTCCCATTTGTTTAATGCAGTGGGCTTATATTGCTTATACATTTCATGTTCTCTTTTTCTCCTGATGTTGTAAGGCAATAGGAATCTCGTCGCAGTTCCCTGTGTCTGAAAGAAAGACCCATTATTGGTGGTGCTAACACAGTCATTTGTCACTATATAAGATTCTAGAGCTTATGCATTTTTCCCTTGGCTTTATCTCTGAGCTATAGTAGGAAATAAAGAAAAAAGGAATTGGATTCGTTTATGAAGTCTCATGGCTCAGTTAACCCCTTTAATTGGTTCCTAGGAGCTATCATCTGAGTCCATCTATTCAGCTGCACAGTAATGAATGTTTTGCGCTTTCCGGGCAAGTAGGGTGGCAGTGGTGTAAGGGAGAATTTCCAAAGTTGCTTTGTTAGATGTTCCTCTTGGCTATCGAAAGCTTATCTTCAAATCTATTGCTGACAGTGTGGCAGCAGCCAGTGGGCTTTGCTGTGCCACAAGTTATGGATTATCCTCCTGTTACTAGCTGTAGGTCTCTCTTGCAGGGAAAGGAGTCCAGGGAGCCACAATTAGATGAGCTCCTCCTGCACTCCTGGCTCTTCATTATAGAACAAGATGGGAGCTAACATGAGATGCATTGTAGTGGAACAGTGCTGTTTCTTTCATGTGAACTGTCCATTCATCTCATGGGGGCAGAGGGAGTCCAGTTGCACTTTGTCGTTGTCAGATGATGTGCTTTGTTTACAATTCACTCACCCTTTTTATGAGGAAACATATGACGCTCTCTGATGTTTGCATTCCAGAAAGGTGTGGTTCTGCCACATTATATTAGAAAGTACATAGGAAGCAACTCTATACCAGGTTAGACTGTTGATCCATTTAGCTCAGTACTGTCTGTGTTGATTGGCAGTGACTCTCTCCAGGGTTTCATAATGGGAGTCTTTCCCAGCCCCACCTGGAGATGCTGGGGGCTTGAACCTCGGGTCTTCTGCATGCAGAGATCAGAGGCTCTCCCATTGAGCCATGGCCCTTAAGTGTCAAAACTTAAGTGATTCCAAGTTACTTTTTGTTTAGACTAGGCAGGGGTGAGTAGAGAAGAGTCAAATGCCACCAGCCTTTTACACACAATGGCTTTTTATATAATATTGAATTTGTTCTAGATGAACATTCCCTACAAGGTGCTTGCCCTGTTCTTAAAGCAATGCAAAGGGTTTAGCAAGATCTTATCGGATTAGGATTATTTTTTGGTGGGGCGGGGATTTTTCTTCTTACAGCTATAACAAAGAAGCACTATTACTGTGACAGAAAACAGCTAAAATGCTGCCGCTAGGGACCTAAGTCTTGACAGAAATTCAAGAAAATGGTTTGCAACTAGGATTTTCAAGCTAATTTGCCATGGACAAATTGCTTAAACACTTTCGTCATGTCTCTGATTCCCCCAACCACTGCAGTCGTATACAAACACTTATTCAATCTACCTCACAGCATGTCTGAGAGATTAATTAGCCAATGCTGGTATGATACTTGGAAAATCTAAA